ATCGTAATAAGTTTCCAAAGTCAATAACGATATACAAATAATTAAATATATGCAACGTATTAATATGGAAGACTGACCAACGTTTCTTCGCGGGACTTTAATGCCGAACCCATTGTCTGGATCTTTTTTGCCTTTTAAAGCAGGATCTCCGAGTGGTTCTACTCCGAAATGCCAATCCGCACAAGTTTCTCTAACGGAAACAATTATACTGAAACAAGAAGATAAAAGAAATGACATATGAGATTACTTTTTCAATTTTAAAGCTATTTTAACTATTAAGCAATTTCTATAAATTTCACTCATACATATATATAATGTATCATATACTTGTATCACATATTATACATGAGAAAGAAATCTAAAATTTATACCACATTTAAATAATTTTTGCTCTAACCTTCGAATCAAATCCTTTTTATTTTTGATAGCTTTCCTTAAAGGTTCACGCAATGCAAGCTGTACAAAATCTTGCAACTCAGCATATATATTCCTACGTATCGCGTCAATAAAAACAGTCTCTATTCGTGCCATTAATACTTGCAATCCCTTAATCATCGCTATAACTTCTATAAGGGCAAATTTCTCTTCATCAGTATAGTTATACCGTGTAGCCTGTGTATAAGAAAAATAGTATATTAATAAAATAATTTTTTTTAATTAATAAACATGACAATGATGTAAAATACTAAGAGACGCTAATACAGTAATAATCATACTCTTTCATATTCTTCAGCCTCTTGCGGACATTCTTTGTTCATGTGATGGTCAGTGGGATGCAGTAGTTTCCAACTGTACAGCTCTGTTACAACACTAGTCCATTGCGAAAGTAATTGTAATCCACGTAATGCCAATTCCGCAGTATCTCGATTTTCTGTATCGCTTCGGCATTCTTTGTATGTTGTAATGACTTCGTTACTATATCTGTATATAATTGTGAAACGTTGTATCACAAAAACAGATACAAAGTTAATACGAAAGAGACAATGAACAAGATATACCTTGCCAATTCACTAATATACTTTACGTGATCTTCTCTAATTTGAGGAAGATGTACCATAAGATCGGCTTGCGGACTTATGCTATTTGATGACGAAGACAGTGGCCACTTTGAAGCGTCAAAGTGCTTCGAACGTTTGATATAGTTAAACGGTGCAATTTGCATATCTCCGAACAATGGTACTACCTCCAAGTTCTTAAAGATTCTATCGATTCTATCCAATTTCAATTTTTTCTTTTGGTCGAGTTTATTGATGTTACATAGTTCGCTGTCCATTAGGAATAAACCAAAGCCCATTACTTTCACCAACATGTGCTTCTCGTTAGGCGTAAGATACATCTTAGTTTCAAACATATGAACACAGATATTGACTACATCCGCAAGTAATTCTTCATATCCTGCAATCTTCTCGAGATTTTCTTTAACCGTATCACGAATTTTATTCTGAGTTGCCAAAAACATTGACAGATTCTGAGATTCTTGCAGTGTCTGAGAATCCGACATCACCTTTAAAAACTGTGCAGCTCTAAAAAAATTAAGAAAAACATACTTAAGAATAAATGCAGCTAAAAAGATTTAAATAAAATCTTGTTTTTCATAAATCACCTCCTATATGTGGAATAGTCATTCTTTACGCTAGATTTCATATTTTTCAATTCGTCCAGGACAGCAAACATGTTGATGAATTTCCCTAAGGTCAACAAATATGCCTCAGATACAAAATCTTTTCTTTTCTCGTGATGACACAATCGTTTAACTTCTCCTGAAAATCGCTCAATCGCTTTTCTCTGAAACACAAGTATGCATGAATATACATGTATATAATATATAAAACCAAACTTCGATTAACTTAACTTGCATTTAATCTAACTGATAAAATTGCTTAAAACCTCATTTTAACTGTACAATTTGTTGTCCCTACATTCTTTTTTCATATGTTAATCAATAAAAAATAATAAGATTGAAAGACCGTTCATGTTAAATACATTACTTTAAACTAAGAAGCGCCACTAACGGTCTGAACGTTAAGATGTTGAACTATTCTAAATTCATTTTAAATGAATTAATTTCAGAAATTATAATTGCGTGCCGATATGGTTGTCAGACTTTCAACGCAATCAAATCTGAAATATTAATAATCCCCCAAATTTCAGTAGTCTAAAGGCTTAGGACGCTCGCACGGAATGCAAGAGATCCGGCTTGGACTCCCGGCCGAGGCATTATTTTTCGCAATAAGTTTATTACAGTTTTTAAGTTGGGAAATTTGGGGGGATTATTAATATTTCAGATTTAATTGCGTTGAAAGTTTGACAACCATTTCGGCATGCAATTATAATTTCTGAAATTAATTCATTTAAAATAAATTTAGAATAGTTCAACATCTTAATCAATAAAATATTCTATCCATGTTTTATTATATTGATCAAATTGATCACAGTTTGGTCAAAATTACCATAGTCTGTTCTTTATGGATGAACTAATATATACACTCGTATTTAAAATAAAATAAGATCTGTTCTTCCTAGATAATCAGTATACTGTAATTGTATTTAAAATTAAAGACATACATTTGAAGTTTAGTGAAAGTAAAATAGAAAGTTTTAGTGTAATTCAGTACAGTAACAAAGAATAAATACAACAATATATAAAGGAGTTTAAGCTTACTTGAAAATACATGAAATTCAGCAATTTGTTCACTTCAGGTGCTAACACCTCGACTGTTTTCTCATAGATTTCTACTCGATTTGGTTGCTCGTTAGATTTTGGCTGTGGAATTGCTCGCGAGCAGCATCTCCAAGTATATAACATGACTGCATGCTCCAAGCCTTCTTCCAGCAACTCATTCTAAATATTACAAACAAGAGTTCATCCGAATTAACAATGAATTGTACACACGTTAGTTTCTGATCAAAGGATAAGCTTACCAGGCTCGCGTGTACAGTCGCCTCTTCTATATATTTGGCGATACCCGTCACAAAACCGTTTCTGTCCTCGAAATTGGTGTCGAAGTTCGCTTGGTACACAACGGAGCATGGTTGGGCCTCTATACAGGGTTGCTCGTCCGGCAGCGTAAACTCGTCGAGCACGTCGACGTTCGACAGAGCGTCGCCCAGAGTGACTTTCTCGGTCGTCATCGCGCCGCCCTCGTACAATTGTCCTCCGGAAGTAGCAGCGAAAACCGGGAGGTTAAGTGTGCTCCGCAAGCGACAGGATGTACCTCTACGTGCGTGATATTTACGTATTTCGTACGTACATCACGATATGATCTCGAGATCGTCGAAATCACGAACGAGATCGTAAAACATTGATGAGATGAGAGATACGGAGTCTTGGGTCATCAAGAGGCATCTCGAAACACTAGCGAGCGTTCCCCACGAAGCATAAAAACTTATTTCCTGATCTCGTCAACACCGCTAATCGCTTCCCGTCCTAGTTTTCCGAATGTAAAAAATCAGCATAACACGGGCGAATGTTTTAAACGGGGGATCAAAGGAAACACCGTCCGCGTCGCACGAGCGACGATGACGGATGGAGGGTCGATCCGGTCGATTGGGATGGGCAAAAGTCGATCGATTAATCGACGCTTTTCAAAGTTAAGGAACTAAATTTAAATGTATAATCTACTTTGCAAGTTTTGAAATGCGAGTTTCCGAAGAGCTGATTATCTTTTAATTTTGTCTTTCGAGTATTTAATTATTACGGATCTTGTCGAAATTCGAACGGAGATACAGTTTTCTATGCGTTACTCTAAATACAAAATGAAAATAAGAACAAGCGGAATGCATAAAACAGAATGATTCGATTAGGAAATATCATGTGCGGCAGACTTAAGCTTATTCTGCCGCACATACGATATGAGCACTTGTTTTATATATTTATTTAAGTTAAAAAGTTCATTAATTTTAACTTAACTTAGTTACATTTTATCGGTAATTATTAACTTTTAATTTGATTTTTTTTAAGTTAATCTTCAGACATAATGCGAGAGGATAATGAGCATATAGTTTAGTAATTTTATATTATATCATCAAAATAGAAAGAGACGCAACGGGTGCTAAACGCTACATAAATTGTCTTTTTCAGCTTCAAACTACAGATAGAATGTTAAATTTGGTCTAATATATGCGTTGTAATATATGCGATATACGTTTGTTTCATTTCAACTTACTGCACTATGTGTAGTTGGTGCAGTTCATTCACTCCACTACACAAGTGATGTGATCGATTTTCTGTTCCTGCACTAAACTGCACTCTCTTTCTCGCTTTCGACAAATATCAAGCATATACTTTTCTCACTTTAAAGGCCATCACACGTACAAAAATTTTAGTCGTAATCATAAGGCCGTAAGCAAATCGGCCAATCACAATCGAGCGTTTTAAAACGCGAGATCGTAATTTTGATTGTGATTGGTCGATTTGCTTGCGATCTTACGATTACGACTAAAATTTTTGTACGTGTGATGGCCTTAATGCGGGGCCTAGAATAGAAATTGTAACGGTCGTAGGATCTTAAGTTGTAGAAAATTGATCAATCACAGTTGATTATTCCTCTCATATTTGACTGTGATTGGTTAATTTTCTACGACTTAAAGCTGGTTCTACATTAGTCGCATCGCAGCGTCGCAAGCATTGCGGTCCAATCAACATCAAGCTAGCTCGACTCTGATTGGATCATAACGCTTGCGACACCTTGCGACATTGTGATGCGACTAATGTAGAACCAGCTTAAGACTCTACGACCGCTACGACTTCTATTGTAGATCCCGCATAAGAATCAGGTCCAAATGTTCAAAAGCAAGATGATAGCCCCTTGTTTGAAGTTAAGCGTCGTCTACAATATGCGAAGTAAGCTTGGTTTAAGAAGTAAGAGTAAGAAATTGACCAATCACAGTCGATTGTGAAAAGAATAATAGACTGTGATTGGTGAATTTCTTACTCTTACTTCTTAAAATTACTTCGCATATTGTAGACAACGCATTCTATTGTAGACCCCGCATTTCTTTTTACTTTTTACATCATGCATACACTAGTTCACAGAAAACAGACCTCAGGAATATACATTTGGTGCAGTGCGGTGTAGTGTGCACTACAAAAAAATGACGATAGCTTTGTCGATCTGTCACTGTTCGTAATGAGGAGAATGGAGAAGGTACACTGATAAGGGATGTATGTACACTTGCATACGTGGATACACATCACAAGCTTATCAAATAATTTTGTTAACTCACAGATACGAAGAAATATGTGAGATAAATCGTTCGGGGAAATAAGTTTTTCGTCCTTGTTATTTTTTTTATTTTTTTATATCTCCCAGCTATCTACCGCCAGTCGCTGTCAAAAAGGCATGAAACTGTCGAAGGAAATCACGGCCATTCCATAACAATCTAATCATCGTATTGTGTTCTACAGGACGGTATTGTCGAGACAAAACTATGACGAACGAAATATCGGTGAACGTTTTGACACTGAATTGTTGGTAAGCAGATGAAATTTTTACTTATTATTTTACAAAACGCATTTCCAAGGTTCTTATTTTATAATTCTTAACGATAGTGTCGATTACATATTTTTATCATGTATAAAATTCTTGGAACAATACTGTAACAATATCGTAACTGTCGTTAAGAATTGTAGAATAAGAACCTAAATGGTGAATTTTAATTCATGCTCTGTTGCTTCTGTTTCGGTAGGGGCATACCATATGTGTCGAGAAACAGGAACGAACGTATATCCGCTATCGCAGAAAGATGTATCAGTAGGGAATACGATATAATCTGTTTGCAAGAAATTTGGTCTGTCAATGATTTTAATCAGATAAAAACAAGAACACAGGAAGTACTTCCCCATTCGCATTATTTTCACAGGTATAGTTTTACGTCATCTCTGTCATCCAGATGGATTTGAATTGTTTTGCTATTTTTTACTAAATAATTGTAATCTTATATTACTTGTATAGTGGAGTCTTGGGATCAGGAATATGTATCTTGTCAAGATATCCCATTCATGATGTTATGTTTCACAAATGGCCTTTAAATGGTTATGTTCATAAGATACACCATGGAGACTGGTTCGGTGGTAAAGGAGTTGGGCTGTGTAAAATAAAAATTTTTAACATGTATATCAATGTTTATATCACACACGTACGTCCATCTAGCAAACCTTTTCGTTGCTATTTCATCATGCATAAAATATCCTTTTATGTGATATAAATAATGTAACGTATATTCGGACAGCTTATGATGATTTTTAAAAGATATCAAATATTTGTTGTTTTTATTTTGCAGTTACACGCGGAATATAATCGCGAGAATGACGAGTATATGGCTCATAGAGTGCTACAAGCATTTGATACTGCTCAATTCGTAAAGATGACGAGTGGCGGCGTGGACGCTATCATATTAGCTGGCGATCTTAATACAGAACCGCAGGACTTAGCTTATAGAATTATACGCGGTGTTTCTGGTTTAGCAGATACATGCCCTGATAGTCAGAGCCACATAGGGACCAACGAATGTGCCAATAATAGTTACACCGGCTCAAAACTTGCTCGAACACAGCCAAATGGAAAGCGTATAGATTATATTATGTATTTAGGTTCGAAGACTGTGAAGGTAAAGGATTAACGCAACGAATATGAAAATATTGATACGATGTATAATAATACATTAAAACTTGTAGGTTGAAGTTGCAAATTGTGGACATCCCTTGCCAAATCGTGTGCCATATAAGGATTTTAGTTATTCCGACCATGAAGCTGTGATGGCTACACTTAAATTCGTTAATGGTAAGCAATGTATTTAAATATTCCACATTATATATAACATACATAAACATTTATCTATTTTTTTAATTTACTTCAATTAATAGTTTAGATCTATATATTTATTTGCAGATAAACATGATATAAAAGATCTAGATATTATCGATTCTCTGAAAGAAGCAATAGAAATTTGCGAAGACGCATTGAAAAGTGTACAACGCCAACGTTTTTGGTATACATTGTCAACCTGCATGCTAATCATTCCGTTAATTTGGATCATCTGGCTAAATTGCATGAACATATCTTTAGCTGCAGATATCGGTTTGAATATAGTATGTATTCTTCTGACTGCATTGTTATGTTACACTGTATTTATGAGTTCACTATGGAATTGCGCAGAGAAGAATGCATTAAGAGCAGGACGTTTAGCTATAGAAATTTACATGACACATTTGGATAATAATCAAAACTGAATGTCAAATTTCTACACTAATATAGATCTAGTAAACTACCAATTAACAGTAACATACAATAACATTAATGTTATAAACAATAAGAATCTTATTTTTAGACCGTACAATGTGGGAAACACAATTAATAATAGAAATTTAACAGCTTATACCAGTTCTTTTAATGCTTTAAATAATTCAATGTGAATTATATATATACTATATATACTATACTTGCATATATAACATATTTGTAATCCTTCAAACTGCGCGCCAAATTGGTTTTCCGGACTCATAAACGCAATTAAACTACTAGACTAATATCACGAATTAAATTAAATTAACAAACAATTCTTAAATAATTTTGATGCACAATCAAGCATCATATTAGCAAGATGTTACTATGCTGAAAAACTGTAAGTAAATTTATTGCGAAAAATATTTCCTCGGCCGGGAGTCAAACCCGGATCTCTTGTATTCCGTACGAGCGTCCTAAGCCATTAGACTACCGAGGCCTTTAATATTATAATTAATGTTATATTAAATTTCACACTCAACAATATAAATGTAAAATATAACACATGTTGTGTAACAGTTACATTATTGAGTATAAAATTATAGTATAATATTGATTATAGTAATATTGATTATATATTAGAGTATAATATTGATTTTATGTTACTGTTGGTTGGTGTTTACTGGATATTATAATACTTCCAAAAGAGAGTTTAACATAACATAAAAATTGATAACGCTCAAATAAAAATTTCGTTAAATAAAAGAAGATATATATTTAATATATAAATTTTAAGATAATATTCGTTTTCAGTTTGCATTTATATACTATATTTATCGTTATGATTTTATTGTTAAATAAAATTTTGAATCAATATAAGTTGAGTTCAAAAAAGTTAGTATGAATATTAAAGCATGAATACTAAAATTTAAACTGTGAGACTGTAATGGTTTTTTTTTAAATTCATTATTAACAATTACAATTGTATTACATGTACGTTTACTATCTTTTTTTACTAAATGTCTAGACATAGACATTTATAATATTACTGATTGACCAACTATGCATATCATTTCACAGGAATCAACATTATGGTAAAATATATCTATTTACATATGCATGCATTTATATTTCCATTATAATGCTGAAATTAAAATTTAGTTTTTCAAATCCAGTCTTTCAAGCGTAATTGCATTTCGTTTTATACGAGTTGCGTTTTCTGATATCAATACTATAATATAATATTAAATAACATATATTATATATAGGTTTATAAAATTTTCCAAGATAAGCAGTATTTTCTCAATATGGCATTATATATTTTATTATAATTATAATACAATACTATAAAACGAATGGTTATTACCTTTAAAATTTCCTACAAGCTCCATGAAATCTCCATATACATTATGTTGCATGGGAATGTCTTTTAGTATAAATGTATTCAAATACATATAGAAATGTTAATTCTATATGGTTCTTATGCACATGTATACCATTCGTAAATTGTTATATACAATTTAGATACACATAGAATAAAATGCTTCTAATAAATAATGTTTACATAAGAGTACATACACATATATATATATTTATATTATATATAATATATATAATTGACTAAGCAGTGTGTAGCCAAACAAAATTGATATGAAAGCTCAAAACATGGCTGTTCTTGTATAGTATAGCTTTCATAAATTTGCTTCCTTCTCAGTGATATTAAGAACATTATCTAAAAGAATATTTGTAAATTTGTTTTATAATGATAAAATTGCCTACATTTTCTCAGACGCTCTTTGGTTTTCTTTCCTTTCACAGTACTTAGGGCAGTTGCTCCACGTAATTCTTCGGTACTAAACCCGTTTTACCGTTTAATGTACCTTCTAGCCAACCTGGCTCCAAAGAGGCCTTAACTGTAATAATACATTTTGTTACGTGCCTCTTTCAAATCTTTATAAAAATCAATACTTTCGTGTCGCTCTTACCATTTGTGATAATTTGGTTTGGTTCAAATGATAATTCGCCATCGTTTTCCGCCATACACGCATATAAGGTTCGCACTCTCCTGAGAATTTATATAAACTTATAGAGAGAGTCCCCCTTCCTAAATTTTATGTATAGAATACTTACCAAATTCCTGGAATTTGACCAGGACTCGAACGTCCACTACTGGGTGAAGTGTTGATGCTGTAATTATGTATAGAATCATGATAATAAAAAAAATATCGAATAAAATATTAAAAAAGTAGATTTTTGTTAATGAAAGAATTGGGACATCTTACGGACATATCGATGACGAGTTGCTACGCTGAGGATAAGCCGTGGGATAGTGCACGGATATCATGGTGCCACGTTTTTGCTTGATTGGTAATTCGCCTGTAAAGGGATGAGGATCCGAGGCGATTGATTCACTCGAACTGCTCGTGTTGCCACCGCTTAGAACTGGGATAATAACATTTTCGTTTAGAAGACGATATTAAAGATTATTGCGAAAGAACATAAGAAAGAAGAATGTAACAAGACCTTTGTCGGTTGAATGATACATAAGGTTCGCGTTAGTCAATTTTATGCGACTGCTGCTGGTACCGCCACCGCGACTATCCAAGTACGACGGTATACGATGACTTGTGTTATCAAGATCTTCTCGATCGTAATCTCCATTATTTCTCTCATCAATAGTAGGCGACTTATTAACAGTCAAAGGCTGGCCGTCGTAATAAGATCTTGTAACGAGCTATATATATAATATATAAATATATATATATATATATACACGGAATATACATAACGATGAAAGAAGACAATGCTACAAACTTACGTGCGCGTGTGATGATGCGGGTGTAACTGTTGTGTGTATCGCTGTGTGTAGCGGATATCGTAAAAATGCCGTTCCATTACCCGAGGAAGTTGGACCTTCTTCCATTTTAATGCATTGCGATTTACTTGGGATAACAGTGGCTTGTAGTGTAGACTGCGCTGCTACTGCGCGCTGCAAAGAATCTTGGGGTGGTCCAGCTACTATTCTTTCATAATTCTCAATCAATATTTCCACAACAATATTGTAAAATTTAATGTCCATTATAGAAGCTACTGTTTCTTCTTCTGGTCGTAATAAAGTCGGACCAAAACATACTGCCAAGTTCCCCACAGTCATCAGATTTTTATCACTTTTTTTTGCCACGCTGAAAATTTTATCCAAATTTAAACAAAATGTAACAAAAGTAAAATATTTTTGACATAAATATCCGAGTTGAGATAAACAAGTAAAACTTAGAAGTACACACATATAATAAAACGCTAAATTCTATAAATTAATAATGTCTCTTACCTGCAAAGATGAGTAATAAGAAGAATCAACATATTGAAATTAGGTTTAGGCAATCGATAAACGAGATTGTGTATATCATTTATCCGAGTTTCCTTCATCTCCTGTTCTGTTAAATATCATAATATAAAAATCACAATGGAACTTTAGTTTTATACAGAAAAAATATTGAAAATAATAATAGGGAGAGCGAATTGAAGTATTTAAGAAAAATGGAGAGATAGAAGAAAGAAAGCGGATCTATCGTGAAATTTCTTTATCTCCAAGAATAGATACAATGGCAAAAATAAAATAAAACAATATATTATCAAGAATACCTATACGCACTCGCAGCTGTAATGAAGCTATTGTAGTATCGGAAAGTCATTAATGGCTCGGACAATGTTCTCAGGTAAGTTTTGAGCGAACTGGTAATAGTTTTACTTTCCCATTCAAAACGATCGTTTAAGCTAAGCTTATCCACTTTCCTCTTATCGAGACCCATTGTTAAAAGTTTATTTACTTTAGAGGCAACTCCGACCACTCTGTATAAACCTTGTTCTTCTAGTCCTGTCGACAATTATTTAAAATTAATAGATTAAATCAACGTTATTAGACGAGCAGAAAGCTCGATTAACTGAGAAAAAAGTCAATTGTATCACCTCTATCTTCGAGCGCTGCAATACATTTCGATACGAACGTAAAACCGGTTTCAGCCAATGTCATATCTTCGGGTCTTGCGGAAGAACCTAATCGCGGACAAGTCTGGAAAATGATTACACGATTGTTACACGCAATTTCATCCATGAAAGATAAAAAAGTATATATATATATATATATAGTAAAAGCGACCATTTGAATATTGAAATGTACAAAGATTCTCACAGGTTCCTTTCCATCCATAGCATCCATCCATAACTTCCTATCCTCTTCGGAAAGCGCTTGGAATGTATATATTACACTAGGTCTGGAAAAACAGCAGAGAGGCTTCTTTAATCATCTTTTATTCGTGGTAAAATAAAATAATTATATGTTAAACATACAAATTCAACTTACTTATCTATGGCAGTGATGTCAAAGCAAAATCTTTTTTCGATAGTGTCCGATGTTCGTCGTACACAAGACCACAGTGTAAGGGTTTCCTTACCACTCTATAAAAAAAAATATTGAGAAATTATTCCGAAGATCCTTAATAACACATATTATACATATTAAGTTTCCACTTCACTTACAAATTTTCCCGTGAGTTGATTATAAGGGATCATAGTGAATTCTTTCCTATCCTTTTGATATGTGCAATACTGTTTTGTCCATGTTGTACCAAATGCTTCTACAAACATCATGTTTTTTTGTAATGTACATAGTCAGCGACATTCATAATATAGTATATAAAAGGTATTTATCTTAAGACTCACTAAACAATCAGTTTTCATCAAAGGACTTTTTTATACTACAATAAACTTACTTTTCTCCATTAGAAATAAATATCCTTCGCGCGAGTGTAATTTGTTGAGACCACTTTCTACAGCGGACTAAGAAAAAAAAGATGATATGGGTGAATGTAGAAAGCATACTTACACTTAAAAAATTCATAACTACTAATAAATAACGATCAATATTTAATGCTTAATTTTTAATGCTTGCACTTAAAATGATAGAATAAAACTACAAAACAACGTGTTTCTATATATCTAATTTTTACTAAGTAATTAAGAGAAAAAATACAAAAATTGCTATGTAACATACCTTTTTCATGTCCTTCATTTTATTCATAAGTGATTCAGTTTTATCCCGGGTAGCAAGGAAATTCTCTCTAGTCTTGTGAAACACACGCGCACACACACAAATAAAAATTAGTAAGCGCTTATTCATGCTGTTATCAATCTTATTATATTGGTACTTTATAGAATAATTTAGTCGCGAATGTTACAGATTTCATTTATCAATGGCTATGTTCTTCCGTATCCTTATACCAATTCCAAAAGGAAATTATAGTGAATATTTAATAATGTATTTCTGCTATAAATTCCACTTTAATGTATAATGTAAGTACAAGTTAAATTTACTTTATTAGCAATTACATAGCGCGCATTACACTTGCAAAACTCTATATTTTTGTCTTTTAAACTTTATTAAAATTAATTTTGAATTAATTACTAAATTATGAACTGTTAACTTATGCAATATGTAATTTTGGTTTAAGCTGGAAAAAGAGAACTCTTATCAATAATATTAGAAATACTATAGAGAAAACATGTATCTACATGTTAGTGATGCATATTTCAACAAGATTTTCTTGCATACAAACATACAGCGATAACACTAAATTATTAAGTCATTAAAATAATGCTTCTACGTTATCGTCACTCACAATAATGCATTAACAGGGAAATAAGTATACCGACTAGAGAGATAAAATACTTTTTGTCTCCTATATCATTTAAAGTATTTAAGCAGTTAAAAACGCATGACAGGAATTGTTACCAACCTTCTGAATTTTTAATTGTAGCTCTGTCATGTAAGGTTTAAAATCTTTCGCAACTTCATGACCTTGATGATAGAATGTCAGCCATCCAAACATAAATCCCAACAACTAGAACATTTTATATTACATTAGACTGCAATTTATTTTGCACATGTGTTTAATGTAGAAAACACATGAGCACGTAATAAAGAATTTTATTGCGTGCATATAATAATTTTTGTTCAAACTGTTACCGTTTCGACAAATTCAAACTTTTTCCGCTCTTGAACTTCTTGCAGTAAAAACACATATTCTAAACTAGCTTGAGAGAAGTGTCTTTCAGCCATCTCCAACGTTGCGTCAGCCTATAGATTATACATGCATACACGAAATGTCAATTACTTAATAATATGCAATCCTAATTTTCCATAGATCATTAAATATACCTCTTGCAAAACATTGTCCTGTTTTTTCGTGGACAAATTCAAGTAACGCTCTTGACTCTGACAAAATTTAATCGTCTGTTTCTCGAATTTCTTTTTACCATCCTGAAAAGTTACAACACACCAAGTAAATAAAACTAAACATATTTTATTGGCTTGAAATATTTTAGATATAAATAAATATATATATATATGAAAGATATATATAAATATAAATTATATAGATACAAAACATCATTAAACAACTTTACCTTAACTCCACCGATATGTTCTTTCCTAAAATTCTCCAAAGGTAATATAATCTGATCATACGCTCGTTCCAACTAGAAAAAGAAAAGCTATTTTAAGGAATGACATCATCATTACTAAGTATATTAAGAGAATCTCTTTCAAACTAGTCTTTCTTTATATAACATTTTAGAATTACAATATTCTATATCAAGATCTATTAAATGCAATGAATATATTCTACAAACTAATTTATTCATTGCATACCATGCGATCCCTCTCATCTTCTATGGATGCTATAAGTTTGCCAAATTCTTTCAAACTCTGAGATATATGAGTCTCGTCCTCAGTTTGGCTCTCGCCGATGCATTCAAAACTAAAGTTTTGCAACGTTTTGGAAAAGGCTCTTTGCGCTCTAGACAAATCTAGAAAAAAAAAACAGCACAACGTTATTATAACTAATTTAAATGAGAAACTAGATTACGTTAGTATAGAAAACTATTTTCTACAACGCGTCTCTGATAGAGAAGGAAAAAAAATAAAACAAGCAGATCGTTATCTTTCTAAATCCACTTTGTCGTGGAAGAACATTACAAAAGCCTTGACTTACTATAATTACGCACGGAGGTAAATTATATGTGCAACAGCTGTTACAACAAACACATGTTTCGATAGTCCGAATGGGGAAAAAAAACGTCGCGTCATGAACTTACTCTTAGCAGCTAGCAACAAATCTTTGACCTCCTTAACGAGCCGTTTGATCTGCTGACTAGTCTTTTCCAATTCGCGCTCGTGATAGTGAAGATTCTCGCGGAAGTACGGACTATCGGTTAAACAATCCGTAAACTCCAGTGGTTTGAGGCCAACACCCATTCTCGTTTGTTTACGAAAATTCAAGGGTCATGAATACGAAGGAGGAGGAGAGGGCCCCGAATTTAACTCGTGAGTCACGCTGTCACCCACGATCACTCGCGATAAGACGCACGATCACTATCATTACTGCAGGATTATTCGCGCAGATCCGCGCAGATTCGCCATCATCGGGATGCAATGTGTGCAAACACTTAACAGATTAATCCAGACTGTACATATACGTATACAAACACACACACACGCGCGCACGCGATTCGCCGTGCACAGTCCCCGCTTTAAGTATCGGAGCTCGACTGTGCTCGACTGAAGTGTGATTCAATATAAAAACAAAGGGCACAGAACGAGAAGCTCGTATCTGGAATTAGACGAAGAGAAAGAAGGGGAAAAATCAGAGAAAATTATACGTGTCTGTGATAGAGGTTCTCAATTCATGATTCCAGTACAAAAATTAGATTTTTTTAAATTGTGTCTGAGTGAATGTGAACGCAATGCGTAAAGGTTTATCCACACGAATGTACAAAAGAAAATAATAACAATTATAAAGGACACAGAACGAGAAGCGCGTCTCTGGAATTAGAAGAAGACGAAGAAGAGTAGAATCGAAGAAAATCGTCTGTGTTAGAGGTTTTCAATTCACGATTGTAATAAGAAAATAGGTTTTTTAGAGTTGTGTTTGAGTGAAGTGTAAACGTAACGCATAAAGGCCTGTTCACACGATGTACAAAGGAAGTCCGAAAGTCGTGCGATGAACAAAACACTTTTTTCACGTTAGTACCAACGTTGAAGCGGTTGGAGCACATGGTGGGTAAAATACATGAAATTATTATTTATTTAAACTGATAAAGCTTGCTTTCCAACAAGGACAGTTAGACACTGTGTTACACAGTGTCTAAGGGTGAAATCACACGGTGCGGAAAAAGACTTGAGAATGCGTCATTGAAGCAATCAATCAGCGCTATTCAGAGCTATTCGGAATAGTGCTGATTGGTTGCTTCAATGACGCATTCTCTATTCCGCAATTTTTTTTCTGCACCGTGTGATTTCACCCTAACTGTCCTTGTTGGAAAGCAAGGAAAGAGATCGTATTGAGGGGAAAATCTCGAAGGGAATTTCTCGCACCGTCCAAAATTTCTCATGTGCGCCACCAGCCAATCCGTTCTCGCGACAGCGTCGGCTTTAAAGCCCATTAAAGCCTGCAAAACGTTTAATTTGGCTACCCTGCAACGCGAACAGTTAACCTCGCTCCTTTCGTAGGCCAGCGGCCAGCGACGAGCGCGACAAACCAATCGCTGCTCGCACCACGACACACCCTTTCAATGCTCGTCTCGTTTATTTTTGAGACAATCCTAGCGAGGTAGTGGCTAATAAAAAATACGTTTTACGTTTATCTCATTGTCGACATCGGCCAATAAGATTTTGATGTTCGTCGGCCTATAACCAATTTAAATTGCGACAGTATGGTAAGACATTCAGCCTTTATGTTTCGTCCATCGTTTACCGTCACGTCTGACGCGTGCACCTGTAAATAAATAATCCCAGGAATTGTCCACACACTGAAAAAGTAGTCTCGTCCTCTCTGTCGTCGAAGACGTCCTCCACTCGCGCTCAGAATCGTACTTTTTGAAAGAAAAATAGAAGACGATTAACAGCGTTGTAAATAATCTAAATTGTATATTCTCCCATAACTGTATATATTCCTATTTTTTTTTAATGTATGTATATATTTTTAGACAGAGCAGCAAATGGACTGTGCGTTAGACCTGATGCGGAGATTACCTCCGCAACAAATTGAAAAAAACCTCAGCGACCTGATCGACTTGGTTCCTTCGCTATGCGAGGATCTACTGTCCTCCGTAGATCAACCGTTAAAGATTGCCAAGGATAAGGAGTCTGGCAAGGACTATCTATTGTGCGACTACAATAGAGATGGAGATTCATACAGGTTTGTATCATCAAAGTGGACTTCTGGGTCAATTCCAAGCAGAATCATAAAGCTTGTAATTTCTTCTCATAAGGCTTGTAAAAACTTACAACTGGAATGTTTATAATATTATATGATATTTTTATATAGATAGCTTCTTATTAGTTATAAGATTTGAAAGAAATCATAGATACAATTAATCGTACATTTACAAATAATCGTACATCTTATGGTACGCATAGAATTATAATTTCAATTCTTATAAGTCTTACGAGAACAAGTAATGAGCCTTATGATTTTGCTTAGACTGATATTTTACTTTTTCAAGCATGTTGATTAATTGTAAGACAGGATCTCTCTATCCTGTAGTTAATCAACAGATTTGAAAAGCTTTGTATGACACATGAAATATTAAGCTTAGAATTGATTAGATCATTTGATAGGAGAAAAGAAGATAAACTGTTATATAAGAAGATACACTGTATAAACATGATGTGTTTTATAGATCTCCTTGGAGCAATACCTACGATCCACCACTAGAGGATGGCTCAATGCCTTCTGAGCGATTGAGGAAACTGGAAATAGATGCCAACCATGCCTTTGATCAATATCGAGAGCTGTATTTCGAAGGTGGGGTCTCGTCGGTATACTTGTGGGACTTGGATCATGGTTTTGCAGCGGTAATTCTCATCAAGAAGGCGGGCGATGGTTCTAAAAAGATCAAAGGATGTTGGGACTCGATACATGTAGTGGAGGTACAAGAGAAATCGACTGGTCGTACTGCGCACTATAAACTCACATCAACAGCCATGCTGTGGCTGCAGACCAACAAGCATGGCTCTGGTACAATGAATTTGGGTGGTAGTTTGACGCGTCAGGTAAGTACAGCACTTGTATTATATCAAATTTTGAGCTCTACCTTCGTTGGTTCATTTAAAATTCTGCTTGTATCTCAATAGATAACTTTTAAAAAATTTGTGTTTTGCGTGCAATTATAGGTAGAACAAGACGCTCAGATCAGCGAAACATCTCCTCATATCGCGAACATCGGCAGAATGGTGGAAGACATGGAGAATAAAATTCGTAATACGTTAAACGAGATCTACTTCGGCAAAACGAAGGATATTGTGAATGGGCTGCGGTCGGTGCAATCTTTGGCTGACCAAAGACAGCAGGCTGCGCTCAGGCAAGATCTCGCAGCAGCACTGCAGAGGCGAAATGCCAACAATTGATCTTGTGAAGAGCAGGAAAGTTTCGATTACGATTACGAATAGATTTTATGGTATTTTTGGATCCTTTCATCTTGCATGGGATCTTTCGATTTTCATAGGCGTCTTTATATTTTTAGAATCCGTGGAATTTTGGATTCTTGAAAAGTTCTGAAATTTTTTGCGGCGGTCTTCGAGTTCTTTATCCGATAAGTCTTAAGATCTTGTTGGACTCTTGGGAATTTTAAATGCTACGACTTGGGCCTTTTCCAGGTCAAACCGTATCTATAGAACTCGTAAAATTCTTCGAATCATTGTCTACATTATCGAAAACGATACCTATTACTGTACTTTGTTGCCCTAAAGAGATACGAATCAATCATGAACGCGTTGATTAAACCTAAACAGTATGAAATACTTTGTTTAATTTAGAATGAAATAGAGTTTATTGTAAATATGCGGGAAAGGTGCAACGCGTTTTAGAACGGTAAATTAGATAAAGAACAATGTAAAATGCAAAAGAGTGAATTATAATATAGTTAACGCTTACTATGTAAAAGCTCGAAAAAAAAAAATACATTTAGCAATTCTCTCTTTTGATTTATATTAAGTTTGACGAATGATAATTGCAAAACGGTAAATTCATAACATTTTTGTAATGTTTGGAAAGTATTGATATTCCGCTTATACTGTTTAGGGTTAAATTTAAAAGCGCGTAACTTAGCGCTGAAAATAATATAAAACAGTTTGCATAACGTTGAAAAAGAAGTATATCATATTGCATTGTAAAGAATTTGTCCTCGCAAATGGAAACTTTGAAAATTGTGCACATAGAAATTGTATAAATTTTCATTTATATCAAAATTATTTAGATTCGAGGAAGTGGCAAAACTCAAAATTTGTATAATATTTGGACGTTGAAGGATAATCCTACCTACGTTATATTTAACATTAAATCTTACGTAATTTAATATTAAATCTGAGACATAGAGCTAATCTTCTCTGAGAGATAGTATAAAACGATTTATTTACGTAAAAGTTCAAAAGGAGCGGTTGCATTTTGCATTTGTTAATAATGAATCCATATATAATGCGCAAATAAAAGTTTTCAAATTAAACTTTATTTGTTTGTATTAAATTTCATGAGTACAAAAATCTGCTGGTACCATAGATCCTCGAAATCTGTAGATCCTCAATATTGGATTTTTATTATCGGAGCTTTTCTTAAACATATTCCGTATACATATTCCGGTGTGTTCTAGTATTCACGGATCTTTGATACTACAGATCCTTGGACTGACAAGTTATCAAGATCTCAAAGATCGTCAGTACCACGAATCTTGCATCTTGAAAGCGAACAATTTTTATGCCTTCTCTTATCCTCGTCCTCGAAACTCCTGATTCTTGGTACGTGAGGTGACGTAGATATTGAAGACTCTTGGTACTATAAATCCTTGAACCCTTGTAAACGACTGCGCAATCATACATATTGAGAACCTCGCATATTCTATATATGATCCATGAGCGCATTAGATTATTTCTTGTAATGGAGACGCAAAAAAAAAAAATACCGCGTAGAATTCGTAAGTACATAAATGAAAAGAAAAGCATTTTTTTTACGTTAGTGCCTTCTTTTTTTACACTTGATTTACACCACCGATATTATTACCCATAACTTAATTCTTCTGTAATTAGACTATCATAAGAATTAACTTAATAACGTAATTTAACATTTTTTTGTTGCAAATACCGAATGATGGCAGTGTGCGGGCGAGTCAGTCTAAGAAAGGACTAAAAAAGACATCACCGTATCGCTCCTGTTTGAATATTTTCTTCCAATATTTCTATACTATTATTTTTTTCATATGTATATTGATACCTTCTCTCTCTCTCTCTCTCTTTCGGTTATAATCAATCGAAAGAATTATGAGCCTGGTCCAATATAGCACACATAGATTACAGTATTAATTAATTAGACGTTATTTTGTTTATTTCGATTATAATAGATAAGTTTTTCGATTTTAATATCGTCGCAAAAATCAAAGTCATCAAGGAAGGCGCGTTGTTTCGCGGTTACCCTTTTAACATTTTTGAACAAAAAGATTTAAAAAACAAACTCTTATAAGATATATAGCTCTTAGGAGGGATGTAAGGATAATAATTGTTAGATATATCGGAATTTACATATGCATATATTTAGCGATTTGGGGTCTTCGTATTTATTTGTTATGTAAAGGAACTTCGTTAAGTGTTGAAGGATATTTAATCGCTAGGAGCATATTTGAAACGACGATCCTAACGAGGTTTGGCGATGCCAAGTTCTCGCAGCAAGTCAGAAGCAATCTGAATGTTTTAACGTAGAAAAAATAAAAACTTAAGAAGATCTAGAACGCTGTGTTGTATTGGAGATAATTCTTTTACAGAAAAATAGGATGCGAATTATCGCGAGGACACCAAATCGAGCAAATTCAAAGTCACAGAGTTCCATAAGGGAGAAAAAACGTATACCTTCCAATGATAACTGTGATTACACTCTTGTAGTTAATTATCTGCTTATAATTATTCCTAATCATTCAGACTGCACTTTCGGAACAATTTTTTTCTTTTATACAAACGATGTCACAGATGGAAAGGATGTAAGGAAAGAAGATTCTCTTCACGCACACTTTGCAAGTTCACACAAGGATCTTCCATTCGCGGTCCTCCTCTCTCACTTTATCTAATTATAATCTCTGTTCTAACGTTACATAGTCTAATTAAAAGTTATCTTATTGATTGAAGGCGGTTTGTGTAACCTGTTCTGAAAAATGTTTATTATTAAAACGAGATATTACAACAAAATGTAATAAAGTCTGAGCATAAGCCAATTACAGTCTCTGTACGTGACGCGATATTGTATCGCGCCGCACCAGCCATCTCAAAGCGCGCGAAATATTATTTTGTGTGATCCTTAAGATCTCGATGTTCCTGGATTTAAAGGTCTAAATTGTATCCCAACTCTTCCAAATCATAAGCGTTTTTCAAAGCTTAACATATCTTCTCATACAAACTATTTCTATTTCAAAGCCTCTGCATTTTGCGATTTTTAAAATATGATAAATATCAAGGTGCTTGCACATTTAAATATTAGATATTTAGATTAAATTCACAGATTCCAAATTCATGAATTTAATCTCATTCGCGGAATCTATGAATTTTCTCAAATACGTGGATATCAAGCACTTTACATCTTATTGATCTTCCTAACTTCTAAGATTTTCTAGAAATTGGAATGCTAGACATTTTTATTGTAAAATTTTTAAATCTTTGAGACTTGAAATATTTTGTATGTTTTAGTTTCAAACCCGTGAACTTTTAATTCGCTAAAGGTAGAACTTTGAAGTTCTTGACCCTTTTAGATATTCAGACCGTTTAAACTTCGATTTTTATAAGTATAATTAGACCTAAAAATCTCGAGAACTCGAGTTCTTTTCATAAAAAATAAGGAAACCTTTAGCATTCTATAGAAATTCCATATAGCGAAACTCCAGTCTTATCGATCATTACAGGAAAGATGCTTGAAGTGAGCTGCTTCGTGTCGGGCATCGCTAGCATCCCATGAAAAATTGTTCCGCGCGCGCGCTCAAGGACTCCAAGGTCCTTTTTCCACGACCTCTTCATATTGGTCTCCAACAATTTTCTCTCTTTTTCTCTCGCATTCTCTCATGTACTCTTTCTCTCTCTCTCTCTCGCTCGCTCTCGCGCTCTTTCTCTCTCTCTCTTTCTTTCACTCACACACATAAGTGTAATAAGTTACAAAGCTGTTGTAAATAATTTCTTTCTCTCTATTCTTTAAAAAAAAGGTCCAGGATGTATCTCAAGGCTTTCTCAGTTTTTATTTCCCAATCAACTATCTGCTGAAGTGTCGCTACTTTCTTATATAACAAACAACGCGTGTGTAATTCCTAGGTATACGTGTAAGTGTATTTGTATGTATCCGTACGTGTGTATATGTATAAGTGTATATAACTGTACGTATACCCAGTTTTTGTTGTCCCGGATTTATTTAAATATTGTTGGATAAAATAATTAAGTAAAGCGGATATATTATTTCGATAAAAGTCGTTTCTCGCATTTGCGCGTTGCTGTTGTTATGTGGAACTGCTAGCCCGTTTTGCTTTCTCCCCCTTCTCACTCTCTCTCTCTCATTTTCCTTTCTCTCTCTCAGACATTCTTTCTCTTTCTCTCTTTTTTTCTTTCGCTCTCCCACTCTCTTCATCATCTTCCTCTAGATTTTTTGGTTATATTATTGTTGTTTATCCTGTTTGACCAATAGTAAAGGTGTTGATTGATTGGCTAAGCGGGTGGTTTTTGCTCGAATGTGTTGGGCTTCTCTGTCGTCGTAGTCGGGCTGAACACAATTATTTGTCGAGGGAGGTGTTATTTTTGACGGCGATTACTACCTCCTCACCGCATGCCTTGAGTACAGTGCACTGAAAAAATATAATATAGATTTATATAGTGTATATTATTTTAGCGTGGATTTTTGGAAACATAATTTTTCTTTAAAATGATATTGTCAACAATTGTGAGAGGAACATTATATAAAAATAGATATTAATTTTTTAAATATAATAATTTTTGTATATGGTAATACAAAAGATAAAAGAAAATTAAAATTATGAAAATATTTTGAAATTGAACGATGTTAAAGTATCCAGATAGTATAGAACATTTTTGCAAATTATATAACGTTTTACATAAAATGCTTTATGTGTTGGTAAAAAAACATAAGATTTTCTGATTTATTTATATAATTTTACAATTTTTCTCTTGTATATAACATATAAATATATCGTATCAGTTATTAATTTATACAATATATAATCGAGAAATAGGAATTGATTTGTACAGTTTTATTACAGTTTTATTTTAAAAATTTTGAGATAAACTAGCATTTTTTCGTTATTTGTTGCTGATAATTTTTTAATAAATGGTTTTAGAAATTGTTCTTGCTGGAATGTTTCGTACTACTTTAATGGGCAATTAACAGTGCAGTATAATCTTAATTTTTAGAACAATTTCTAAAACCATTTACAAGAAATCAACAGTAACAAATAACAAAAATGCTACTTTTTACTTCAAAATTGTTAGAAGCTTAATAAAACCGTACAAATTAATAATTAGCATACTTATTATTATACAGGAAAATTATAAAGATTATATAAATAAATAAAAAAATTTATATTTTTTATTATCATGTGATATAATTCTATGTTGGAAGCAGATAAATATCTATAATATATTATATTAATCATATATATATTTATGCGTCTTAATTATTTCTAAACAATTAGGAAAGCATATCTTGTAAATAATAAATTTATAAATATGAAACAAAATAAATTATTCACATACATGTTCCTTATATGTATATGTATCCTCATATAGTTTGATGATACATTCACAATTGTATTCTAAATAACATTACAATTTGAACGTATGATGCAACATGTAGAAATGTTAACACAAATATTTATGTATATACAAAAATGTATACTTACAAGTAACTCTTTTCCAGATTCGTAATCAGCGCGCAGCTGTGTTCCCAAATCACCATCAGGTATCTTGAGATCTTCGCGCAGTTCTCCATTATCAGCCATCAGACAGAGATAGCCATCGTCAGATATATCTGTAAGCTGTCACAAAACAATTTCAATGTTTCTCAGAAACATATCATTTTCAGAGAAACATATCATTTCTGTCGCAGTCTGAAATTTTAAAGTAGACTACTCAATCTATTCTTCTTTGTAATATTGATAGAAAAGTTTAAATAATTAAGATTATAAAAAATATGAATAACAATAAAATACATTTATAAATATAAAAATAAAAGGGTAAACGTTTTTTTAATAGCCTAAAGAATAAACAAATTAAAAGTATAAAACAAATTTACATACATTATGTTTAATTTGCTATATGCAAGAAATTAAAAAAAAAAAAGGAGCATTTACCTGGTAATCTTCCCGCTTAACAAACGGCACATCCATATTGTGTGTGGAGGGGCAGATATCCTCATACTTCTTGGAGGTGAATATGTCGATACCTACTAAATGAACCTTGGCATGACCGTGCTTGCCAGTCTTAGAAGTCGACATTTCTACAATCTTGCACGGACGCGATTTTAACATGACGAAACCATTTTTGCGCAGTGCTGAGCACTGTTGAGGGTATGTCACGGAGGCGCCTGAATCTCCAGTCTCAAAGTGAGTATCCTCGATATCTGCCATTGTTGTTTGATGGATATCTGTGTGAAGCACAAAATAGGTATAAATTTGAAATTAAAAATCAGAATAAGCCCAATTCATAGCTGAATTTCTCTTGCACAGTTCATCTTTTTCTTTTTTCTTTTCCTCTGTTAAGGAAAGAAAGAAAAAAAGAACAATGCGAGTTCAAGTAAAAAGAACCAGTTTATTGTTAAGAATCAATTCTTCTCATAAGATCCGTTCCTTGTCGCTGCTTTAAACTATAGAAATTTCGATCTTCCTTTTGCCAATTTTCAAATACATATTTAATTCCTTGCTACAAAAACTTAAATAAGTCCTAATCTCCAATAAGTTTCTATTTCTAAAAGTTTCTAGAAATTTCAAAGAAGGGTACTTATATTATAGTAAATTGTATTTTCTTCCAAAATAAAATACAGACATTTGTTTTAGAAATTTGAGAATAAGTGATTCTTCAGAGATTTTTTAAATCACTTCAAATACATAAAAAAGTAATCAGATGCAAATTATCCAATTTTATACAAATAATGCTGATTTTGACATTGCATTGTAAGTGATATGAATACAAATAAATTATGGATATATTTGTTATATTTAAAATGAAATATATGTGTATAACAAGTGTACTAATAAAGCACAGGCCTCCAAGAAACATCTTAGCCTAGACATCCAAAAGACATCTCAACATCTTAAGGACATTCCGAGGATATTCTTCGGAGTGCTACGTTGGGATAAGTTCAGCCACAAAGAACAGACCTATAGATCCATCTCTTTTGGAAAACAAGAAAACCAATAGTATAATGGCACTAATACAGTAACAATGAGTTTACGACTTTTTTGCTCGAGTATCCTGTTAATGACACTGACGAAGCTATTTTGAACAAAATAATTTTGCAACTGTATAAGCCTAGCCGCATAAATTGATGAGCGTCAGAAACGAAATATCGACGACAGTAGGAAAAAAACGACCGAAGAAATTACACGGATGCAACAGAATTCTCGCCTGTACAAAATATCTGCACATTGTACGTACACTAACGTCGCTCGGATCGAGTTTCTATCGGTAACGCGAACGTGAGTCACCAAACTCGGGCTATCGGCAACGTGGTTACACCCGGACGAACAGGGTGACCACGTGGCGCGTCGTCGCAGGGAGTTCGCGCACAGTGAGAGGTATCGGAGGCGGACGGGAGGCACGGCTAACCAAAGATTTCTCGCGCAATCAAGCACGGAGGAATTTGCGAGCTCCGCGGCGTAGGTGGGTGAATTTGACGTGAGTCACGTTCGTCGGGGTGTGTCGCGACGCTGCCGGGGCACCGCCGGTTGTCGCGCACAGCGTATTTCGAGCGATAGGTGGATGAAGCGAGTGCACGAACTGAATGGACCTGAGAGCGAGCGGATCACATTTGCTAACGGGGACCGCGTTACCGTCTCGGCGCGTTGCGTCGCAGCCTCACGGACGGAAGCCGGCTCGACATTTACCCGCGTATTTTTAATGATCCGCTGCTCGTTCGGGCAATTAGCACCATTAGTTGAAGCCGAAAGCGAGAACAGCTCGAAATACTCACATGTTATCAAAATGGATACTCTAACCAGAAGGTCTTGCGCCGGCGCGCCACGGAATTGTAATAGGGGTTCACAACTTCGACTGCACGGATGCTCTCGCCATTCGCGAACGCGGCCGCAGCGCCGCTGCGAGCGCCATCTTGCGGCCGCCGTCGCGACTTCGCGTTCGAATTGGCGCGATTTCTAATGTTTCATCGGTCGCATTCAGCAGAAAAAGCAACTTTCCAACTGTTGTAAAATTTTTGAATATGATTGGTTTATATATTTAGATTCAATGAGGAACTAAGGGCAAGACCAATCATATTAAAGAATTTTACAACAGTTGCAAAACTATTTTTTCTGCTGAATGCAGCCATTTGTTGTAAGATAAGTTTTTCGAGTGTATCGATTGGCTGCAGAAAAGAGAAATTTTCGAGAATTTCTCCAGAATCAACATACTTGAAATATTTGTCGCACAAATGAAATGTTACCTTATGGCTTCCATTTGCGTATTAACTTTTCAATTAATATTTTTATTATCTTAATACCATGAATAGAATTATAAATTTTGCTTTTTAATTATTATATAATGTTTGTTATTTTATAAGAAGAAAAATTAAATTGATAATGAATGGATTTAATTAGAAAATTTGCTTTATAATTTAAAATTACAATTACTCGGTGATCAGTTTTTCAAGTTAATATCTGTACTATCATACCACCTTGATCAAAAAGTTCCCGGAATTCATTCAGAAAATTCAAAATACAAGTTTATTCATCAAAAGTGATATTATCCCCTTCAAAGTACTCCCCATCGACTGCAACGCACTTATGCCAGCGCTTGATCCAGCTCTCGAAACATTTCTGGAACTCTATTGTCAGTATAGCCATCAGAGCCGTCTTCGATTTTTCCATTACCTTCTTTCGGCTGTTAAGGGGATGCTAAAGTTGTTCTACTTTACCATCATTTCCATTCGGTGAAATATCTCCGAATTGAATTGATGGATTGCAAAAAATTGTTTTTACAGAATTAAAGTACGCACAAACAGGACCTCAGCTGTATCGGAGAAAATCGAAAAAAAGTTTAAAAATTCGCTTACTTTTAGTTCGTACAGCTGACACCTCAGGTCTATATTTGCTTCATACAAGAGTTTTATAGTTTATATCTTGAAAATAAGCATAGGTCTGAGGT